ATTTTGAAAACTTGAAGAAGCGCCACGCATACAATCGACTAATATAAACCATGTTTGATGAAAACGTACTTTTTAATTAAAAAAAACATTTCTAAGGTTGAGACACAAACCTGAATGCATAACAATAAGAAGTTCATATTGAAATAATAGCCAGACAAGACATATTTATTTGTCACTGTCATCAAGATGCTGGCACCACAGTATGTCAAAATGGAAAGGGAACCAGGTCCAGTCAGAATGGATGTAAGAGAAGTTTGTTGAGCTTTCTTAGCTCTGTTGGTTTCCGGTGCATCATCTTCGATTATTAATTTGTACTCTTTAGAGTTTGGTGACATGGTAAGGTTCAAAAGGAATGAGTTAAGTTTTAGTGAATAAATAAAAAAAAAATTTTTTTATGTGTAAAATGTTACATTTTGAGAAAACAATAAAACCTGCATAGTATATACGTATCAACATGTGATTCAATATATAATTTTCAATTTAACCTACTTATTAACAATACAAAAGTAATATGTTTTTTACTTATTAAATAAAATTAAAATTTTAAACCTATAGATTATTTTTCTTTTTTTGTTTTTTTAATGTTAAGTGTATAGATTATCTTTCTTATTATATCTATAAATTTAAATTATATTATTTTTTTTATAAACAATATAAAAAAACTAATTAAATTAAAAAGTTATTTTTTATTCTATTTATTATTGAAAAAATTATTTGTTAATTTAACAAAATTTAATACTTTATATATATATATTATCAATAATTTATTTATTATTACTTATAATTAAATAATATTATTAAAATCTTAATTAATATTAAAATATATAATATTCAAAAAAAAATTTTATATTATTTTTATAAATATTAATTTTTTAATTTTTTATTAAATTAAAATATAATTTAAATAATATATTAATCATATTGTTTTTAAATAGAACAAAAAGAAACAAAACAAAAAAAAAAAAGATTTTAAAAAATTTTTTCTTATAATTTTTTTAATTATAAACTATTTTTTTTATAATTAAATTGCTAAATATATAATATCTTTATTTATTTATTTATTTTATTTATTTATTTTTTTATAGTACTAATAAGTATTAAATACTAGACTTTATTAAATAGAGTTTACAATTATATATTAATGATTTTTATATATTATATAAATTAATTCTAGCCTATTGCACTAATCTAGTTATATAAATTTATACTTTGTAAGTAGGTCCATATATTAAATGAAATTAATTTAAGAAATGAAAAATTCTATTATTAATTTTAAACCATCTAATCTATTAATTCAGTTTTGTTAAAAGATATCTTTAGGAATATATATTAATACTTGATAGATTATCTTTTTATATTTTGTTTTTAACTTATACAATTATAGATAAGATTTAGTATATAATATATATTTTCTAATAAATTTGAAAATTGCAGTCCTTAGTTGATACAAGCTATTAATTTTAAAGATATAACTATAAAGTAGAATATAATACTATAAATTTCCTAATAAACATTTCAAAAGAATTTGATTAACTTATACTATCAAATCTAAGGATATAAATATCAAACAAAATATAACTCCTATATAAAAATAATATTGAATCAATTATTTATATCATATATTAGTATCCATATTAATAATTTCTTTTAAGATTCCTTACTTTGTATTTATATATTATATTATAGAGTCTACTATGTCAAGAAAAATATAAGCTTTTATTGAAGTTAGACCAGAAGTCTTTCCTTATGTAACCTTTTTTACTTTAATTTATTTTTAGTCTATAATTATCAAAAAAATTAGAGGTTCCATCTTTATACAACTTAATTAAATTTGATCAAAATTTAAATATTTAAGTATGATATTTTGTAACAATTCTGACCTTGACTGCACCACGAAACCCATACTGCACCTGTGAACCAGATACCCTGGAAGATATCTGATCTACCCCTGATGACCTACAAGTCTGAGACATGTTCCCAGACGATAGTCAGACACATGTATGGTGTGATCCTGACCTTTGATGATGTGACATGCCACCAAGCACCACTAATTAATTATTATGAGTTAATATAACCAAATTAGGAGCATAAGGCCATAGAGTGTGCATATCTTTTTCCTTTTATTTCTTTTTATTTACTTTTTCATTTCATTATGTTAATTAAGTACATATGTCTTTGGAGGTTAAGCCTAATATAGATATATGTATTTTTATATTTATTTATTTATGTATTTTTACATTGTATGAAGCCGACATGTATAAAAAGGATGCTCTTTTGACCTTAATAAAGTTCCAACTCTATTGGTATTAAAATTACAATCACTAAAGTTCATTGTCTTTTTGAATTACTAATAATTTATTAAAGACTTTTACAACTTGGTAGCAGCGGATTCAAAGAACTTTCTCTTTGCAAAAAAACCCCAAGTAAAATTTTGTTAAAATGGATGCTACCCAATTTGCAACATTCATAAAGACCTTCCAAGAAATCTTGAAAACCCTTACAGTAAAAAAGGGAAAACAAACTGCTGGATCAAGTTCTTTGACCACTATCACTAATGTGCCTAGGATATCTTTGAGAATCCCTACATTCAGAGGAGAACCTGGGGAAAATGTGGAAGTCTGACTGTGCCATACAAAGAATATTCTATATACACAAGAAGTCAAAGAAGAAGGACAGATGATACACTATGCCACCATGGAATTTGAGGATACTGCTCTTCATTGGTTTGTTAACAAAATCAAGGATTCCACTACAGCCGCTTTTACTGGATGGGACCAGTTCAAGAAAGAACTCCGAATTGCCTTCCAATCTTCATACTATCAACAACATCTGCGTCACCAACTTAAAATCCTGCTTCAAATAGAAACCGTGCAAGAATACACCTTCCAATTTAGGAATCTGGTAAGCCAAATTGATGACATGCATCAATTGGATCGAATTGCCTATTTTGTAGAAGGATTGAAGCCCGCGACCAGAATGGAAGTGAGTTACAAGTTCCTGAAAACCCTTGATGAAGCTATTCAAATTGCAAGCCAATATGATACTGTTATGTTTGGCCTGGGACGACCGACAGGAAAATTTATCACCCAAGGATACCAACCCCAAGAAAAAAACCAATGATCCAAACTAATCCCAATGGAATTAGACCGCATCGAGACCTATAGAAAACCATCCACCAGTAGCTAGCACCAGAAGAAACAAGTAAAATGCTATAATTATGGAAAGATGGACCACTATGCCCGAGATTGTCGATCAAAGAAAATTGAAACCAAAGTCAAAGTCACTGTAATAAAAGAACAAACCACTTCCCCGGATGCCGAGTTCATCCATATTGAAGAAAACTGAGAACAACTACTCTGTTTTAATAAAAAGATCGATGGACACCCTGCCTGGATCCTGTTGGATAGTGAGGCCTCCAAGAATTTTATTGACAAGAAATTTGCTAATCAATGATGACTGTCAAAAGAACAAACCAAACCCTTTACTGTGGAACTGGTTGATGGCCAAAAGAAAGAAGTCTCCATCGAAGTAAAGATCAAGAAGTTGGAGTTGAACCAATATCGCACCTTTGGGATTTCTGCTCAAGTTTTAAATTTGCAACGATATGATGCCATTTTAGGAAAGCCTTGGTTGTTTCAAGTCAACCCCAATATTAACTGGAGAGCCAATACATTATTCTTTTCAAATAGATCATGCCATATCACCATCAATGCTAATACCAACCAAGCTAACAAGAATCCCACGTGTAACTCTATTTTTATTTCCAGACACCAACTTGCCAAGACATCCCTTGAAGAAGAACTGTATGCTGTATGTGCCACTCAAGAGGAAGGCACCCCTGAAGAAACCAAACTCTCACCAGAGAAAGCTGCAATTATCAAAGAATTTGTTAACATATTTCCACCAGAGCTGTCCAATAAACTGCCACCTAAAAGAAAGATTGACCATGCCATAGATTTGCTGCCAGGAGCCGAACCACTGTCAAGACCCACCTACCATTTGTCCTATATGAAAATGGACGAACTCAAGAAACAGTTGGCCAAGCTATTGAACAAAGGATTCATCAGACCGAGTATTTCTTCCTTTGGTGCCCCAGTACTTTTTGTACACAAGAAAGAAGGAACGTTAAAACTATGTATCAACTATCGTACCCTTAACAAGGTTACCATTAAGAACTGATACCTCTTATCCCAGATTGAAGAACTCATGGATCGGTTGGCTGGAACCAAATACTTCAGTAAAATCAACCTGTATTCCGGATATCACCAAATTCATATCAAAGAGGGAGATATACCGAAGACCACTTTTAGAACCAGATATGGCCATTATGAGTTTCTTGTATTGTCTTTTGGATTGATTAATGTCCTTACGATGTTTATGACATTGATGAATAATATTTTCTAAGAGTACCTCGATGATTTTGTCATCATGTATCTGGATAACATTCTGATCTATAGTAAAATAAAGAAGATCACCTGCGATACCTAAAGACCATCTTGACCACTCTGCGACAACATCAACTCTATGCCAAAGCCATAAAGTGTAAATTGCTACGCTCGAAATTTGAATATACTGGATACTATATCTCTGCTGAAGGAATCACTGTGGATCCCGAAAGATTACTACTATTTAGAATTGACCAGTAACTATCAATGTATTGGAAGTCAGATCCTTTTTAGGATTAGCAAGTTATTATAGAAAGTTCATTCAAGAATTTTCTGCCCTTGTCACCCCCCTCACTGCCCTCCTACACAAGGACAAGGAATTTGTGTGGAACTTTGTGAAACAAGAAGCATTTGAGAAACTCAATGAAGCTCTTATCACGGCTCCAGTTTTGCTCTTGCCTAATTCAAACAAACCCTTTACCGTTATCACGGATGTCTCTAACTTTGCCATCGGAGCTGTTCTGACCCAAGACTATGGAAAAGGGAAACAGCCAGTTGTATATAACTTCAGGAAGTTGTCCTCAACCAAACAAAACTACCCTGTATATGAGAAGGAGCTGTTAGCTATAGTACATACTATTAGACTCTGGTACATGTATTTGGAAGGATAATGTTTCACTGTCATTACCGACCATGCCTTCCTGGAATATATCAAAACCCAATCAAATTTGTCCAAACGATAAGCCAGATAGCTGGAAATCCTTCAAGTCAATGACTTTAAAGTGATATATCGATCAGGAAAGACCAACATTGTAGCAGATGCCCTCTCCAGATAGCCACACCTTGCATCTATCTCTACACTTGCCACCAGATTAGCAGATTATGAAACCTTTGAGAAAGGATATACCAGTGACAAGTATTTTTCCAAAATCCTAACAACCCTGAGAGAT